AAAAATGAAAATAATAAAAGATCTCAAACGCTAGATGCCTGCTGCATAGAGAATCTCAAAGAAACTGAAGAGACACACATTTTCACTGCTACCCATAGAAAAATAAGTCCCAGCTCCTAACAGGGGTGTGTAAGACTAACTTGATGACTTGATTAAATTTTTTAAAAATTAACATTTAACTATAGCATTGTGCATTGTATAAAATGCTATTAAGAATTTTGCGCAGTAGTAGCTACAAAAGTAGAATCTTCAAAATGATATCTTTTACTTCCCATGGGCATTTAGTAACTTTTCTATTTAGAATTTCAGACAGAATTTACTATCTTTTAAAATAGCAATGACTACAATATTCTTTAAAAAAATAATTTAATCTGTTTGCTCTAAGGCTGGAGATATTTCCAAAGTACAACTAATTTTATTAAACATTTGGCATATTTGCAGGCACCGAAAAACAAAAAATACGTCATCAGTGGCCATGTTCACTAGGCTCACCCATATGTAGCTCACTTTCTAACAGAACCGGGATAAATAAAAACCACTTCTCTTTTTTTTTTTCTTTCCTGGTGATCTGGTGATTGTTTCTTCTTGAGGACGAGGCAGAATAATATTGTTATATTAAGAGTAAGCGTAAGAGCCAAGGTGGCGCAGTGGTTAAAAGCAGCACTGCAGGCTACTGCTAGATCAGCAGGTCAGCGGTTCAAATCTCACCGGCTCAGGGTTGACTCAGCCTTCCATCCTTCCGAGGTGGGTAAAATGAGGACCCAGATTGTTGGGGGCAATATGCTGACTCTCTGTAAACCGCTTAGAGAGGCCTGAAAGGCCTATGAAGCGGTATATAAGTCTACTGCTATTGCTATATTGCTATATTCCATTTAAAATGTGTTATCATTATATATTGACTTTGCCAGGATAGAAGTAAAAAAACAAAAAGCTGCTCCCTAAAACCTCTGCCTGCCAGTCTGAGCAGCCAATAGCATTCTATCATCTTAAACCTTTAAATTTTAAATTGATTAAATGTGCTCCAGCCACCCTCACCATTACACTCTGTGTAATATAAATAAGTAAAACAATTAAACACTCCTCAATACTTTGCTCTGGTACTACTTCTATTTTTTTATAGAACCTTCTTCCATGTTTCACTTTAATTTACTTTTTTTTTTCCTTTTTGCACTTTTTTTAGAATGATAAAGTTTGGGTATGTTTATAATGTGGTTTCCCTAAAGGAAGAGGATATAAAAAATAGGTAAGTCCTCCCCAAATACAGTTCATTCAATGAATGGATTAAGTATGAATAGAAATTATTATTAAGTTCTCTGCAGGTCTGGCAGTTATTGTGCAATGAGAGGCCAGACTGCAAATATTTCAGGTGAACTTATCTTTTCTTTCGTTATGTCAATAAAAAATCTTACTGATGCCTGTAATCACCTGAGAGAGCACAAGATGGCCCTGTCGGTTCTTGCTCCTGGAGTGATGGCCTTAATCTTTGCAAAGGCATGCGGGAACTACATTTTCAAGCAAATTGTAGTTGTTTTAAACTATTCCCATTTCTTTATCTTAATTTTTGGTTCCTAAATGAATCCACCACATCACCAACATAGATGGGAACATTTACATTGGTGTATGTGTTTAAATTCATGTACATATAAATTCAAATTATGTAATCTTTCCTAGCAGTCCAAGGTCACATTAGTCAGGTGGCCTAGTCAGATGGCTAGCTATGTCTATCAATTTAAATAAACAAATAAATAAATGACAAAACCCATGAAGCCAAAAACGTGAATTCCAGAAGTTTACAAGATATTTGGAGGGGGCAGGGAGAAGATGATCAAATGAAAAGCACAAGATTTACAATGAGCTAGATTCTAGATAGCCTTAAAAGGGAGGCAGGGGTAGGAAGTAGATTTTTTATTTTATTTTAGGCCTTCTGAATCATAACACCGTCAGCCCATCCCAAGAACGATGGGTAAATGGTTGTGAAGCCATGACATAATTAAGCATGAAAAACTCAACTGAAACTCTCCAAAAAGAAGCTTGTGTGGATGTGCTGCATTTGTGTGGGAGTGTTACTGAAGAAGAGATCTAAATAGCTCAATCATTTCTATAGACTTATGTCAAAAGTTAGCTCCCACAACAGGCAAATCAAAGAATGATATTATAACTGGAATTTCTAAAAGATTCCACCTTCAAATAGCAAGAACGGAATTTGAACGCCACTATAATTTTTAAAATATTATTTAAACAAGTACATGTTATTTTTCTTCCATTTTTCTTACCAATGCCAGATTCCTAATACAATGCTCCGTAGTTTGCCTGCAAAACCTCCCCTGATTCTTGCCAGGCTCCATGTCCCAGCTGATCTTTTAAAAATGATACAGCAAACATTATTATTCAAAGCAAAAGTTTTATGTCTTATATTATTTCTGTTGTTTTTATCTCTGGCTATTTTTACTGGTTTTTAAATCTGCTTTCGTTGTGAGATAGCTAAACTCAAGTATATGAGATAGTTAGCCTGTATACATACTACATACTTATTTGCTCACCAAATAAATAAATAATATGTCAGCAATAATCTTGTTGTTATTATTAGTTGCGAAGTCATGTCCAACCCATTGCGACCCCATGGACAATGTTTCTCCAGGCCTTCCTGTCCTCTACCATCCTCTGGAATCCATTTAAGCTCACGCCGACTGCTTCGGTGACTCCATCCAGCCACCTCATTCTCTGTCGTCCCCTTCTTCTTATGCCCTCAATCATTCCCAGCATTAGGCTCTTCTCCAATTAGTCCTTCCTTCTCATTAGGTGGCCAATGAGTTTGAGTTTCATCTTCAGAAGATCTGGCCTTTTAAAGAGCAGTCAGGGTTGCTCTCCTCTAGGACTGACTGGTTTGATTGCCTTGCAGTCCAAGGGACTCGCAGGAGTCTTCTCCAGCACCCTAGTTCAAAGGCCTCAATTCTTTGGCACTCAGCCTTTCCTATGGTCCAACTTTCGTTGGCAGGGTGATGTCTCTGCTTTTTAATATACTGTCCAGATTTGCCATCTAGCAACAAAAGGCAAGCATCAACAATCACTTTCATTCTCAAAAATGCTTCTGATCCAAAAAGACCCACAACCCCTCACCAAACAATAAGTTGTTACTGTTCAGTGCTTCCTCTAGTAACATGTCTAACAAACATGTCTCATACAAACTAGAATTAACTGGCTTGGGGGGGCGGGCTTACTGATGGCAAGCTATGCACTTGAGCAAAGCCTATCATTTTGAAGCATTCCAATTCCAGAATCTGTATCAAACCCCAGAATACACATCTGCAATCAAACATTTTGCCAGATAAAGGCAATCTTGGCATGTGAAGATGGCTTATAACAAATCAAAACATCTAGTCTGTGAAGAATCCCTGTAGTCACTGAAAAAAGTGGCTCTTGAACAGTCTTTTGCACTTACAAGTATCACAGCATTCCCAGAATCAAGTGTTCCAAAATCAGGCACTTGGCACCCAGCATGCATTTAAGATGGTTGCAGTGTCATGTGATTGCCATTTGTGACCTTCCCGACTGTTTTCTGATAAGCAAAATCAGCGGGGGAAGCCGGATTTGGTTAACAACTGCAGTGATTCACTTAACAACAATAGCAAAAAAAAGGTTGTAAAAATGACTCACTTAACAATCGCCTTGCTTAGCAACAGAAATTCTGGTCCCAATTGTGGTTTTAAGTTGAAAACTACCTATAAAGTATTTCCAGTCCTCATTGCTTTAGACTCCCTTAAGTGAAAACAGGGGGGAAGAAGTGAGAATCTTACACTACCAAATTATTGATCTCACAGCTTAACAGTGCTTATGTGGGTGCATGTGAATGATTGGGAGGGAGGGAGGGAGTGCTCACACAGAGGAACATATATTCACTAGCCATAAAACAATGCTATCCCATTTCTTGCTATTAAGAAGGTGAAAGAAAGTTAGCATGGTGCTTTTCCTGGTACAGTTCTTGCAGGTCACGGTTCTTTATCAATATTCACTGATTGATGTCTTGTGTTGGGCACAAATTCTGAGAAGTAGCTAATTATTCCAGACATCCACTGCATTAAATGCTCTCTTTTTAACGGCACTAAATGAGAAGAACTTGATGTCAAATGGATATAAGTACTCTGAATATGGAGAAACCATCCAGAGAAACAGAAATAAGGTTTCAGATTTCCAGAATTGGAATTCTTGTCCTGACATCATAAACGAAAACTAGATAGGATATGATCTATGATAAGTGGAATGGATGGAAACCAACGTACTGGGAAGCGCAGGGTGGGAAGCTCATTTAGCATGTTAAATAGATCTATACTTAAATAAGAAAAACTAAAAAAAAGGATGCCTACTTAGTTATATATAATGTATTAAAAAAAGATCCTGACAGCTTTCCAATAGCCAAAACCACTTAAATTATCATTTAAGAAAAAATAATTATACAGCATATTTAAATAGGGTATAAATGCTTCTTTCAAAACATAATGTTTCTGGGATTCTTCCACAAAATGTTGAGATATTTCCATGCAGCAGCATAATCTCTTTTACATTTTACAAGTCTTAATTGAAAAATTATGACATTGAAAATTATTGACATATTCATTTCAGCATGCCCAGCTTCTTACATGTACATATATTTAATAGTTACAGTAATCTGAAGTAGCTCATTAACATTGTGAAACTGCCAAATTTAAGGAGTATTCTGTTTTATTGTGCTCCTAATTAGTTTGATGAAATGATAGCTCCTTTTAAGAATTCTGCACAATAAATGATGCTATGCAATCTTTTTGGGAAAGCCTAACACACATCCAAGGTATAAAGCCAAACTCCTCAAGATTTTTACAGAGAGAAAAAAAGAGATTCCATTTGTCGGAAGAAGTCCAAGAAATAACATGGAAGAAGAGGCCATTACAGCTAATGTCAACAGATGGAAAAAAGTCAATTTCATGCTATGGAAAACAGTTCAAAATCTGTATTATACTGCAACTTACTTCTGGAGTGTTTTTCTTGAACTCACGGCTTTGTTCAATAAGTTTCTTTCTTGATTGTTCACTTTCATCTTGTCGGTTAGCCAACACTGTTGCCGTTGCATCAAGTTCTCGCTATCATGAAAAAGAAAGGCAAAGCATACGTTTAACTGGTAAGCAAAAAGCAATTAATGAAAGTATTTTATATCTCCCCCATTAAAGTCATTTACTTCCTTTAAATGTCTCGTTACCAATCCCTCCCCAAAAGTTACAACCGGCCTCTGTAAAGTTGTTGTTTTTTTGTTGTTGTTTTGAGGAAAGGAAATTTAGATGCTGAGAATTGAGAAATTACATCTGCTCCAAGCATTTCTCTGCAGTGTACTGGAACGACTTTATTAGCAGTTTGTCTTTTAACTATCACAAATGCTTGTTAAACACAAAGGTATCATCTTCCTTGATTTTCCAGGGTTTTCAAGAATTTGATATAAGACTCAATCCATGTTTACTTCCCAATTCACTCTTATTGTAAAGCCCTACACAATCTATATTTACGTTTCCCCAAAAATAAGACAGGGTCTTATTTTCTTTTGACCCCCTTGGCCTTATTTTCGGGGAGGTCTTATTATTTTTGAGGTGCAGAGGCGGCGAACATGGTCACCTCATGGCTGCTGCTGTGTTGCAATATTTTCAGGGAGGGCTTATTTTCAGGGAAGGGCTTATTTTAGTGCAAAAGCCTGATTGGGCTTAATATCCGGGGAGGTCTTATTTTTGGGGAAACAGGATAGAACTTTTAACATCTCTGACTACATTAATTTTATTTTTTATTGAATGGATGATAGATAATATATATTGGTACTGTCTGGCAGCCCCACTAGGAAAAAAGATGAGATCAGGAAGGAAGTTACAGAGAGCCCAACTGCATGGCAATCAGTCTATCAAAGCTGAATTGGGGGGTGGGGGGAGAGGAAGCAAGCAGCATCAAAAGGAAGCCATGGACTATGCACCTCTGAGCCAGAGAATGGCACATTCCATTTCACATCTCATCTACCTTTTCCTGACTAACACACTTTAGGCTCTGGGGTAAGCAACTTAAAGTGGAGCTCCTACAATAACCATCATGCTTTCGCTACATTTGGCTGATTTTATTTTGCTCCTGACATAGCCAACTCTAACTTCCATAAACCAAAGTAAGAAGCATGTTCTTAGATACCTTTTTCCTCTAGTTCAAGGAACATCCATTCCTCATCACAGACTACATTGTACTCCCTATATTTCTTATCAGCAAGTTGTATTTCTTTAAACTTGCCATTGTTTTGCTATACAGGTAGTCCTCGACTTATCACAGTCCATTTAATGACCGCTCAAAGTGGAAAAATGTGATCAAAGTGTGATCCCCTTTTGTGACCTTTTGGCAAGCAAAGTCAATGGAAAAGTCAGATTCACTTAACAACCGTGTTACTAACTTAACTCATAAGTAAAGGATTACCTGTACTTTCCCTAGAGCACAAGATATATAACTATACCAAATGTAGGTTCCTACTTTCATACACACCACAATTACCTTGATGACACCATATCATTCCTCAATTTTTAGCCCTTTCATTCACAATTATTGTCTGTATTTTAATTTTCTGCATACATCATCCACAACTCCATTCCATTCAGGTGAGGTCATCTTCATTCATATCTAATACATCTTTTCCCTTCATCCAGTTTTATATGTTAAGTTTCAAAGAGACCCATCTATTTTTCTTTCACTTCATCCACTAACTTTCATACATAACCAGTTACATCTCTTCCATTACGTTACAATTTTCCATATGTCACTGTTATCTCCAGATGGAGATAACAACGTTCCTTTATTGCTATCTCCAGATGGCCCATAGCTATTGACCTCCATTGCCAACCATGATTTTGGTCAAGTGAAGTTTTCACGTAATGCTTTTCATTCAGCCACATTCGGCATCCCTGTTAATTGGAAGGAGAACCAATTGTGGCACGCTCCTAACTGCCACAACCAAAAATCATGATTTTCCCCACATGCATGATGCTGCAATTTTTCCTTTGCATATTCAATATATTGCGTATTTGTTATATTGCATATTTCAAGCACTCTTTGCAATTCCCCAAAAATATTAAGTATGTTCCTTGGCCACCAAAAGACTGCCATTGTCTTTGGCTTTAAAACGTTTGAAGGCTTTGTAACTCTAGATGTGTTCTTATAACGAGACAGCAACATCTTCCCAATACTAAATATTCTGATATGCAGCATCCCTCCTGACTAAGCATTATTTTACCCTCTATATAGCAATGGCACTTAGACTTATATACCACATCATAGTGCTTTTTACAGCCCTCTCTAAACGGTTTACAGAGTCAGCATATTACCCCCAACAGTCTGGGTCCTCATCTTACCCATCTCGGAAGGATGGAAGGCTGAGTCAACCTTGAGCCGGTGAGATCTGAACTGCTGAACTGCAGCTAGTAGTCAGCTGAAGTAGCCTGCAGTTCTGCACTCTAACCACTGTTCTGTATGTCAACATCCATAGATGCCAAATCAAAAATTAGACATGATTTTCCATTCATATTTCATTGTATTGAATAGTCACGAAACTATACCTAGTTAATGAAATAACTTTTAATACTTATCATAATTAAATTTTATGGTTTGAGCATGTTAGGTTGTGTTGAGATTTGAGCACCAAGCTAGAGAAGTCTATTTTACATCTAAATTATGCGTTCTCACTCACCAGTCTAGAATTTTTTTAAAAAAATGCAAGATCAAAACTTCTCAAGAGACATATCTTCCTGTGGTTATATTAATGAATCTGCCATCTTATTCCAGATATGCTTGGTTTATGCACCGAAAAAGCAGACCTGAAAACATATTTGAGAGAATGTCATCATCATGTCTTCCACATGTACCCAGTGGAAGATGCTACCTTTTATACAGAACAAGTATTGGCATTCCAGTTCTGCTTCTATTTCTGCATCACTGTACAACGCTTTTCTCATATCGCTGTTCGCTCTATTTAAGTACTAAATTGAAGTATGTGCACTGCATCTCCATGAAGTCAATAGAAGTTGTGTTATGTACCTTGGGGGAGGATTTGCCCGTAGATTTTTCTTTACCTGTGATCGATTTCCTTTCAATGTGAATAAATCTGACGGTCATGAGAAGTGAGAAAAACAGCTCACGAGTGAGAGAGAATGCAAGCCAGCTGCTGGGGCCATTTGCTCCAACAAGTCACTTCTAGCCTTTCCATTACAAAAAGAAATTAACAAAATTAAGAAGCTTTCAAATGAATCAAACTAAAGAGGCAGATATTTTCAGATGAAATAAGACAACCAGCTAAGCTCCCAAATCAGGCAGAATTTTCCTTTGCTCCAGTTTTTCATATATGAGTCACACATCATACAATATTTATAAGGATACAAAAAAAGAGCAAACACAGAAGAGACTAGATTTCGTCATTCATGATCTTCCCACAACATTCCTCCATCCCACTACTTCACTATTTGCAACATTAATTACAATCAAAAGCTGAAAAGGTTTCATGCCTACCCAAGTTCCTAAACTGAATTCTTATTACAAATCCATAATAAACAAAGAATCAAGTACATTTTAACAATGGTTAATAGAAGTGAAAAGGCACATGGTAGGAATTTATTTCGTGGAGAGAACACCAACAATGAATCTCTTGATTAAAATTGAGATCAATTCTTCCTGGTTTGGATGGGTACATTCCTAACACTTGTAGAAATAACACCAACATTACATTTTTGCAATGGTCAGTAAGTAAATCCATTTCGCTATTCAGAACAAGAAACACTTGAATGGCATTTGTAAGTTTTGAAGAGTTGCATGAAATAGGGCAGTAAAATAAGTAGCCTTGCAGAAAATTAACTGAAACAAGTAGATCCTTGGAGATTATTATACAATTGTATCACAGCGGCCAGTTGTTTCGCCGGATTTGGCATTGGTTACTAGTCGG